GATAAGGATATATAATCCTTTCTTCATTCGGTGCTTTTCCCTTAACGGGATTCAGATAACTTCTGAAAACTTTCTTTTGTTTTTTATTAGGTATAACTATTCCATCAGTAAAACTTTTAACNCAAGGTTTCTTAAATTCATTCGTTACGTCATGTCCACTAGCTAATCGAATATAATCTTCGATTTATCTTTAGAGTAACCCTTAAACGTTTTCTTTTCTTTTAAAAAAACACCATCGGAAGTTAGAATGATATTATATTTTACTTTTGGCGCTAAATATAAACCAAATATGATTCCACCATCACCATAATCATTCTTCCCTTTGCTATATTCGTTTTCAGACACCAACCCAGCTTCATTTAATTTATCCCAATTGCTAGACGAAATGTATAAACTATCAGTATCTGTATAGTATATTTCCGGCTTATAAAATCCATCTATTACGTGAATGAAATTGTTTTTTTACTGTGAGATAATATAAATGCACCTAAATGAGCGGGTGTTAATCTAGTAAAATCCTTTGGAGGAACAAACTCTTTTTCTTCTTCATTCATCTCAACTATATATTGACTATCATTTACTTTTCATAGCTTTTGACGTGTGAATCGAAGTTGGCTTTAAAAGTCGCTTCACTCCATAGATGTCTCGATGTATTTATATCCTTCTGAATAGATTTACCGTATAAGGAATTATCTAATAATCTCATGCAATTACTAGCAACCATGTCTACTTCTTTTTTGTATTTATTCCTTAATTCCTTCAAAATTAAAATATAACAATCTGTATGGTGGAGTTTTAAAATTTTCTTCGTATACTATTCCATCTAATATTCTAATAATTTTACCACCGGATTTCACTATTTCTTGAATATCAACTGATGTTAAAACGTCGTGACAGAAACCATTTCTGAATCTGATTTTAGTGCCAGTTTCCTTCTTACCTATTCTATTCGTAAAAGTTATTTTGTCTTTAGCTGGTATGGGTTGAAAGAACATGTTGGTAGGATATTCAAACCAGACTTTTAAAATAGCAGTTCTAGGTCTGAATTTTTGTTTATTGAAGAGTTTTACAAATTCTTTTTCTTCTTCTGGTAGAAACGCTCTTGTACTTTCCGCTTTAGGATATTCACCTTCTGTCATGGCGGAAGCGTACAACCCATTAGCGTCAAATGCCATCAGTTTAGAATAGTCCAGTTCTTTGAGTTTAGCGTGAACTTCCGTTTTATCTTTTGGGTTAACACTGTATTCTTTGAATAAATCTATTATTCCTCCGTGTCACTTTCATTGTATTCTTTTAATATGGCGCAGATCTCATTCATTTTATCCGTTTCAAATGATTTTCGATTTGCCGAAACTCTTCCTCCTTTAATACTTTGTCTGATAAAATATCTTATAAAAGGGTGAGTATGCGAGTAAACTTTTTCTACGTTTTCTTTTTCGGTGTGTTTGGGAACCATTCTAGTAGTTTCATACCATTCTTCTTCTACCATTTCTTTATCGTAATGATATAAATAATACCAACCCTTAAAGATAAAGAAGGAGCCGTTAGATTATTGGAAACGTTTTGGAAGACAGTTTTTTTCATGGCTTGATTGTATTTTATCAAACAAGCTCCGAGACACAACGTATCTCTTTTAGCGTAAGGTTCTCATTCGTGTCTTAAAGATTCCCAATTATCTTTAGTGTATTTTGCAATATTAACATCCTCGATCTTTCTCAAATTCATTGGTAGATTAGATGAATTTCCCCATGCCGCTAAACTAGATTTTTCATGTTGATAGGAACATGTGAAATTAATATTTTGCAAATAATTAGAGTTACCCTTTATTTCTTTCTGTCTTTTCCATTTTTTCTGTAAATCTTCATCAGTGAATGAATTTGTTAAAGGTAGAATCAGAATTCCTCTAGCTGTTTTTAAAGGGCATTGTGTTAGTTTTTTTACGTTTTTGATCATGATCCAGTTATCAAAACCACTGCCGTTATGGGAAATTAAGGTTAGTCTTTTCTGATCTACTTTTCCTAAACGTTGTAACATTTGATCTATACAATCTGTACCTACAAATATTTCTACTATATTAGTCATGAGTATGTTGTAATATTCTTCTGAAATGGGATCTGACGGCTTAAAATCTAGAGTCTCATTAAAATCACTTAAATCACTTAAATAATTATTATAATCATCAGTTTTTCCAAATTGACTAAAGTACAACAATAAGGAATGGCTTTATTCGTTTCTTTTTCGCAATAGGTTTGGCAATCCCATGCGTATAAACAATAATCGGGAATGGTTGGAAAAACGTTTAGTTTTAAAGGTGAAACTTGCGTTACCGCATTATCATCTTCACAAGTTCTCCATACGTTTTCATCGTAATTATCTTCTATTTCTTTAATGCCCAAAGCTTTGTTATTTCTTCTTATCAAACAGAAATGTTCTTTGTGTAAATAAAAAACCCAATCTAATTCTTCGGTTACTTTCTTTGGTTGAAAATGTCTATGTTTGGGCATATATATTTGAAAATAAGTATTAAATTTCTTATTGAATTCGCAGATTCTAGCAGTTGTCATAACTCCTTTTCTGTTTGATTTTGAAAAAGTGTTGATGAAATCTTGAAATTCTCTCGTGTAGTCTTCGTTTAAAACACGATTAACGCACTTTACAAAGCAGCATCCATCGCTCGGTATATAACAATTTATACCGATATATTCTTTTATCTTTTTGAGTAGACTAACACCACTACCCTTTTTTGATCTTTTTATTTCTTTGAAATTGTTTTTATGGAAAATCATTCTTCCTGTGAAATACCAATCGGAGGCATCCGATTTTTCATCCACTGCAGCGAAGAAATTGACAAAAGTTTTGGTATTAAAACCTACAAATTCCATGTCTTGTTTGTATTTTCCATCTTGAGTTATCTCTCCAACTATTTCAATTTGCCCTTTAAATGTTATTCATTAGAGATAAGGTCAATAACATCGGAAAAAAGTTCATTTGATATGAATTTATCAATTTTTTTCATATTTTTTAATTCATCAGAGATAATCTTGTCAATAATATCGTCTAAAATTTTCACTGATAG